TGCTATTTTTCATTAACACATGTGACCTGTTTAAGGGTTGAATATTTCACAAATAACAAAAACCTAATATCTAAAATGTTATTTCGAAATTTCATTTTCTGTTTACACATTTAGCAATAGCTTTGTCGTTGTGAACTTCAGTATATAATTGCACAAACTACACATTATACATCGAGTAAACTTATAGTTGATACACTCAGTGCAATAGTGTATTTACAATTTGTTGTCTAATTGTCAAATAATTCTGAGTTTTGTTAGTAATTGGCCATTCATATTTGTAAACACTATCAAAGATTACACGATGACCTGAATACATTCAATATACATTTATAACAGTACTGGGAAAATTTATATTTAAACAAAACTCGTTCCGTTCTCCTAAAATAGGATCCAGTTCATTTAAAAAATAACTCATGCCTTTTTCGTCCCATTTTTGTTGAAAAAATATCCAAAAACTTGCTATTATTATTATATTAATATTTAAACATAGTTTTTGGATTAATAATTAATTTATAATTATTAAAAACTTTATTAATATCAAAAAATAATATTTATAACACCCAGAAAAAAATTAGATACAATAAAATTTAAAGAATCTGTAAATTTCATTATATGTTCCTCATACAAATGAATTTGTTCACGTTCCTCGTTTCTTAATGTTTGAAGCATGCAAAGCTTTGTGTTTATAATGAGAAATTGTGTCCAGGAATCTGGTTTTTTTGTGGTACGAATTGCTTTCCAACACTGAATTATAAATATACATTTAGTCGCCATACAAACATTAACACCCAAAATGTGATTATTATTATACTTTGAAAAGATTTTTGGGTTGGTAGAAGAAAATCGAAATATTACTGTAAACGACCCGTGTGGGGTCGGGGATTAGANATATAAACATTAACACCCAAAATGTGATTATTATTGTACTTTGAAAAGATTTTTGGGTTGGTAGAAGAAAATCGAAATATTACTGTAAACAACCCATGTGGGGTCGGGGATTAGTGTAGACCCTAAGTAACTCCTGCTTATCGTAAAAGGCAATTAAAAGAAGGTAGCGGAGGACAGCGAAAACCGATACTACCGACCATCGGCGAGTGCTGCAGTAGAACTAATGGCAATGGAAGGATTTGACGAAGGCAGTTAGGACATAATCCAAATAATTGCTCGTCAACTGCGACGTGGAAGGAGAAGGATACTATCACTTTAAAATTCCTAGTAAGCAGTATGAAGAGATGCCAGGAGAAATAGTGGAAAACATCAAAACCAACCGCGGAGTTGATAAAATAATATATACAATTTAGCCACAAACTACAACACCCAATACTGTATTTTCNTCACAAACTGCAACACCCAATACTGTACTTTCAAAAGATTTTTGTGGTGCGGTCAAACAGGAAAATCGAAATGGTACTATAAACAACGATAAAAGTCCCGGGGGAAACTATGGGACCAAAAATATACAAGTATAAATGTAAGCGTAGTAGTTGTGTAAATGCGCAAAAAAGTACGGCAGCTGTGCCTGTCACCGATACGTTNTGGCAGCTGTGCCTGTCACCGACACGTTTAGCGCCAGGGGAAGAGAAAACCACAACAAAATCATTGTCTATAAATTGAATCAGTAATGTATTTGCTGTTTAATTGCACCTTTCCGCCCACCGTGGTTATGGTGCAGTTTGGCTAACCTAACTATGGCCTACGTCACTTGTACTGCACGACACAACCCCGCGAATACCAATAGGATTATAGCTGTTTTGTTCTACACTTGACCACAAACCGGCTGTCCGACCCAGCTTAATAATTAGACGTACAGCGTACTGGGCAATTACAATAAGGTCGCACGTTCTCACACTAAGAAGATACAAATAAAATATCGTGGATTGCCTGTAATTATTATTATTATTATTTTTATTGTATCACCGAGTCCCCCGCCGTGATTATTGATAAAAATATAGCGCCATTAAAATAAACGTGCGAAACGCCCTTCGTAGCACAACAACGACGTAGACTTTAATTAAACGCGAAACCTCAGCGCACCTGGTGATTAAAAGAACGCAATTTATTACTCGCATGCCATTACGGCGACCGAAAGGCGCGATCCTCTGACCGCACTGATAATAATATAATCGTCAGAACCTCTCTCGATACTAAGCTTTGTGTTCGGACCCACGTGAAACAGTAATTATTACTACACGCCACTATATATTATGTTGTATTTATTTACATTTTAATTATTTTCCGTGTGCTTTTACAGTGTAAAAAAAGCACAAAGGGAAATGCAAAAATAATTATTCCGTTTTCGTGGAACTTAACAGACAAGCTATGAATACCTCACCGTCATATAATTCGTTCTTATCTTATGGAAAACTCAATATATCTGAACCTTTTTTTAGAGTTTATCAGTTTTCTGAAAAACAAATATGTATACATAATTTAAATTTGCGAATGATTTAAATTATGTATCTACGAGATTTTTCGATATCTCGTAAAACGAGCCGATCTGCGAGCTAAAATACATCACAAAATGTTTAATTATACTTTTAGTTTGGTAAATTCGTATTATTGGGAAGTGAAATGCGTATCAAGAAAAAATAAATTGTACCTGTTCAGATAAAAAACCCAAAAGTTATTTACTATTAGTATATGCTTTTTGAATAAAGCTATTTATGTAAAATAAATATTAGTACTAAATATATTCAAAAGTATTTCTTGACACATTTTATTAAAAATACAACTTAAACGAATTTCAAAAAGTGCATATAGCAGAGTTTCATAGGAAATTTAAATGGTGTTTTTTACTTTCAATTGAAATTCATTATGTGATAGACATTAATTTATATTGAACATTCAGAACCGTTAGAAAATAAAACAGATCTTTTAAAGTTAACAGTATTTTCATGACTTACGACGAATTCCAATAAAAATATGATCAAACGAATTTAATAAAATATAGAGTACTATATTGATATTTTGAAGAATTACTTTTGCTATACACGCCAATAGTATATTCCTAGTTCTTTTTATATACACGTACAGCAGTTATTTTCAAAAGGATCAGGTTCTCTTTAATCTTAATGAATAGGCAAAAGAACAATAAAACTAATGTTTTAGAAGCTTTAATTAAAGATTAGATGAATTCTGCATACATATATACATAAAAAATGTCTTTATAACTATCAAATTAATTAATGTACTTTTCATACTTAATGCAGATTTATGCTCGAGATTCTAGCAAGTATTGAAGTTCATGTAGGTATTTTATACGAAGGCACTAGAGCAGCAATAAAACATCACTTCTGTAACAGACAGTAACAATAATGACTTATAACTCTATTTTTCAAATAATAAATTACAAGAAGTAGTTATTGCCCAATGAGCTTTTCAGAAAGGCCAATTTTTTTAAAATTCTTATTGTTTTTTTGCTTGAATTCATCGGTCATCTGGATTCTTAAGTAATAGGGCAAGATCTATAATCTTTAAAATGTCAGCAACGTTTTCCAGTTGTTAACAGACCGAACGTCAAATCATGAAAATAATCCGAATTGAGTTTTGGTTTTGTTTTACAGTCAGTTTAGCCATCAATACGTTATTATTATTGCTATTGCGTTTTTAGAAAATCTCGTCTTGAGTAAATTACTTAAAACTTCCCTAAGTCTTACAATGGTTCGTTTAAAAGCGTGAACAATTTCTTTTTTTTTTTTGTCGTTACACTTGTGTGTTAACAAAAACATGTAATATAAAAAAACAACTTGAAAGTCCGTGGCATTGTTAGTTTTCTCGTAATTTTTCTGGGGTATTTTTGAATCTATTCCCTTCTTAGGACATGTCGCTATTAATTTTTTTTATTATGCGTTTCTGGAGTTGTTTTTTTTTTGTTCTTTCGACTAAATCAGTTTTACGCGGTAAAATAATTATATACTTACTGTCATAGCAGCAACTACACAGTGTATTTTTCGCACTGGATTATACAATTGACCCGTCGGTTGTCAAAAAAAAAAAAAAAGCGAACAACTTTTAACAAACAAAAGAATTGTGTCACATTTTTTGAAATTACGAATGGCACATTTCAATTCATGATATAATTAAAATAAACGATGGAATCAAAATAGGTTCACAGCGTATTGTTTGGATATCATCGCAAAATAAATTCGTATTAATTTAAGTTCCGGTAGGATCAGTAAAATAAACACTGCAGCTCTCGATTACTATATATAATACCGACAATTCTCCTCTTATATGACACTGGTGCCCAAGGATATGTCTTCGCAAAACGCATTCATCAATGGGTCACGTAATCAAAGGTAATGATAATAATATTATAACAGAGGCCAGCGATTGACAAAACTTCATACGTGAGCAATTTTACGTGCCCGTAAAGTCACGGCGTTCATTCCACACTATTATACTGCGATGGAAGCGGCGAGGTATTTTTACATTTAACGCCTAGAATATGTTTCTGCAATTATATTGTGAGGTCTCATCCAGACACGAGTACCTACTCTAGAAATTTACCTTATAGCTATTCAACGCTATAATAAAAAAACAATCTAATTACTATTGCGTTATGGACGCCTGGCGGGCATAGAGTACGTGGTAAACATGAGTTCGCAGATAGAAATGTAACACGCTGTCTTGGTGTTCAAATAGTTATGTCGTCGAGGGACGTAGCTGATCTTTTAATCTGAAATAATTTCAACTCAAACGTCTAAGAGCAATTATTGATCTTAACCGATACTGTTTACATAATGTGCTAAGATCATACGAATCTTTATTCTTCCACGCTTCACTTTTGTCTGTCCCATAAACCATAAGACGAAAATAAAAAACTGCGAACTTATATCAAACAGAAATAATTAACATTATAGTTGCTGTTCAAAATATAAAAATGTCATTTTTGTGAATCCTTTTAGTTCAAAATCGATTAATTTTTTCATAAATATAAATGAAGCTAATTATTGTGTGGGTAGTACACGTGGGAATTTTTTTAGTCCAGTTGACCTAGATTTTACTTTAATTTATTTAAAGTATGATTTATTTATTTAGGTATGATTTGTGCACTATAATCTTCCTCTCGTACAGCAATGTTAATTTTATTTTAACGATTGTATGATTGATTGCACGTCATATAAAGTTTGAATAGTAAAGTTCTGAATTTTCATCTATTTAAAAAAATAATCCTGCTCTTAAAAATGATAAGAGTAAACGCTAAAGTTTCATCTGGCCAACAATCTCATTTTTTTACACTTTTATCTCAATAATTGCAAATAGCGTGACTTTTAGCATACTTACAGACTATAATTGTACTTCAGTCACTCATAATACACTATTTTTGCCAAAACGTTTAAAAATCATAAAGAATATCTATTTGTTTCAACGACACTCAAAATGATAATGGAATAAAAATAATGGGAAATAGTTCAGCTTGAATATCGAAGGGTGTAATTTCAACGGAATTCAATTCATCTATGTATAACAAAATGCCTATACTAGGCTCCTTAAATATGTTGACATGGTTCGTAAAGCTATTTTTCTTGATCAATAACTTTCGAATACGAAAATTTTGTTTGTTTTTAACCTAAAGTACTTTTTTGTTACCCAGCCTTTATAAACGTATTTTTCTTAACAATTTGTTGTGGAAAGTGGTAATTGCTCTTTCGCCGTGCCGCGAAGTGCAGTTGCTACACTATATTTATCTTCGTTGAAAAGTAGTTGGCATTTTTCCGCATGGAAAAGGATATCTTTTAAGTTTTTGACATGTCACCGGGGAGTTGATGTTTCGTTGTAACAAATTAAATCTAACAAAGAACGTTTTGTTTGTACCTTTTAAGAGTATTTAAATTTTTAACAGGCTTTAAGTTGTGTTCAATGAATTTGAACTCTACAACTGTAAAGGTTTTGACTGTCACTAAAGTATTTGGTGAACAATACTCTTGAAAATTTTTAAGGTTAAATATCCGACAATCAAAAAATGATAAATATTCGGTAATATATTTCATATGAAATAATGAGGAATAATTATTTTACTGTTGATATAATTTCATTTTAGACTTGAGAAACTATTATAATGTAAAGAACAACTTATGTACTTATGAACCTTTACAACAGCAGTACACCATAAGATTATCTCAAACGTAATTTCTTACCGGAAAACTTGTCAGTAACTTTGAAAACATCTTTGAATGTTTGATAGTATAATTCGATTTAGATTCCTAAAAGAGCTGTTCCTTTATATCACAATTTAACTTGGCAGTTGAAAGAAAATGATATAAGTCACATAAATATTAATACTTATCAGCTTTGTAATAAAAAAACTGCCAGATACGTTTTGCAAGAGCAAGAGGGTGGTGTATATCACGGCCGCCGACTAAAGACTTCAATCGCTATCTGCAGGCAAATGATCATTCATTGAATTGTTCACACAGATGGCGCACTTAATATTATAGCAGGAGACAGTAGAGTCATACGTAAAAAAACTGGAACATATTTATTGAAAACGTTTATAATATAAAACTATTAACGTGTTTTGAATACCTTTAAAAAAATATAATTTATATATCATAATATGATGTACGCATAGCTGACAATTATTAAAATGTATTAATCAAAGTAAAATAAAAAATTTACACTTTACTAAGTTATCATAAAAAATAGCTTAAAATTAGAAAAATAAAATAAAACAATTTTGTTGTCAAGCGTAAAAAAGCATTTGACGCGTGTCCACGGCAGCTTATACATCAGCCCATACAACGGCTCTTCTAGATCTGTCCACACTGGCAACGTGGTTGGTAAATTGATGCCAAGAGACAGCCGTTACTGGCGAACTGCAAAGCAAAAAAATACAAAAAGGTTTTTCATAATTATTATCATCACCAAATAATATACTACCTATGTTCGTTTCTCAAAACGACCAAAGGTCTTCCTGGTTTTGTCACATTCCAAATGAATACTGAACCGTCGGACGATCCAACAGCTACGTGGTCATACTCCAAATTGAATACGGCCCTCGTCCAGTCACAGCCCACCTTGAATCCATCGACTCTAAACATATTAACATAATTAAACTTGAAATTGAAAAGAAAAAATATAAAGACAACTCTGAAACGGGTAATTAACTTTTTTGACTTGTTAATTAATAAATGATGAAAAGAATCTTGACGTTTTATAAAACCTCATAACAACTATCAGACTCTTAAAATTCAACTACAGGATGTGATCAAGGGTTATACAGCAGCAGAGCAGTGTTATAAAAACTCGGATTCTAAAGCCGTAACATTTACTTCCTGTGTATACAGGGGGGCAATAAAAACCAACCGCATAGCTTGTAAGGTGCGGTGTGTACCACCAATACGCCATTAACGGACTTTAAGCGAGCGTTTCGGTTTTTTACGACCTCGTTAATTAGAGCTAAAAACAAACGTGTCCCTACACGAGGACATTGCCGGCTATTAAACTTTAGCAGGACGTCTATAATAAAATAGATTATGCGAATCTGTGGATACTTCTCATGCGTATTCGCCGCGAGTTGAGAATCGCAATCAAAATCGTTGTGTACAGGTTGTACTAACAAAAACGACAATTGCAAAAAATAATGGACTAGTAAGATAATTATATATTCTCGAGGTCGATTGAAATTGATATCCAGAATTTGTCCTGGTGAGCGCACGTTCTCATTTTGATTATTAACGTTTTTCCACCAGACGTAAGACACGAAAACAGTCTATTATTATTTTCCGGGTGGCTGTTTCCTCATCATCAAAAAATATCCATTAACTCCTAAGAGCAATTTGCCAGTCAAATGTTTACTTTTTTTCATACATTAACATCGACGCCTTCACTCTTAAGTAAAGTGAACGATTAGCGGAACAGTTTGAGGGTGAAAAAATTAGATGCTCTCAATTCTCGACAAAAAGTATATATAACGAGTACAGTTTACAAACGNGTATATAACGAGTATAGTTTACAAACGAGAAGGGGGAGACATTTCAAATGAATTTTACGCCAAGGTTGACTTAAAAAATACAAGTAATATCATTCACTCCAAATAACTGAACATATTCTATTAAAAACAAGAAGAATGTAGTTGTCCAGATTTATTTTTCATTTTAATTTCATAGATTTATTTCAACTAGTAATTCAAAAAATCGTTTTAGCGCCTTTAACAGTTATTTATTATACCTGTCGTCTACAGTCGGGTCACGTGTTAACTACAAAAAACGGATAAAGTTCAAACGATAATAAATTAAGATTTATTGAAAGTCTCGAAATTGATGACTCGGACAAGAAGAAAACTTTTTAAACATCATTTAGGACAAGAATAAAACAATATATCTTAAAAAATTTAAGATCCGAGACCAATTTATTAACCTATCCTAAACATATATTCTATAACTAGATCAGCATTTGAAAAGACGTGACTAGATAAACTTAAATGTTACGATTATCTAAAACGTACAAATTAAAAAGTATCGTTTTTGGAGTAAAATAAACACTATTCGGCATTTGATTAAATATAAAAAGAAATTATACAAGTAGCCAATAGACCCAGTTAAAAATTAATATTTTTGGATGATACATATTTAAACCTATCTTAAAATAATTTTATGTTAGGTTTTTGGTAATTTTTTACTTAACATTTTGTTGTTAAGTTCAATTAAAGTAATCAAAGTTTATATAGTGATGCATTTAGAAGGAGCTATGAATACTCCATGGATGAACTTTACTTAAATAAAAACAATTTTTGAAATCTTGTATTTTTTTCATCACTATATAACTTGTGAAAAAATACTTAAAAATAATCATAAAATTTTATGTTAAAATGTTTTTCTCTTTTTATTTATTTCTAAATAAGTCATTGATTTAACTTTTTGTTTATACATGATTTTTTTAAATTCTATTTCTTTCTATTGACTCATGAATCTTATGATATATATATATAGAAAAACATGACTACTTTTTTTAATAAGTCCTATTTATAGAGAAATATTTCCCTTTTTACTCGTCAAAAAATAATGAATTTTTAAACATCAATTTGTCAATGAGAAAATCCACATCAATTCTAATACTCAAGTAAAATTATTTATGAATACAAAAACGATTTGTTTGTTTAACGAAAACGTTGGCAAAAATCTACAAAGAATGATTGGCTGTTGTGTTCGCACTAAAAAATAAAAGTTTTGAAACAATTGTATTTCTCAGAATTTTGTCTCTTTGATGTAAGCAAATACAATTTACTTGAATGAAATTTAGATAAATTTATTCCGTTTAACGGAAAATGTACTTTACGGAGAATTTTAAGTAGCAAATAATCAAAAAAAAAAAAACTGTATATATTTCTAATTCAGAAAAATTAAATTCACAGAATATGTGGATTGTTACTTGAAACCTTTCAGCATGAGTAGAAATAAAGAAAAACGAAACTTTTATTATACTAAAATTATTCACCGCTTGTTTCATGTTTCAAGCATTCAATAACCAAAAAAAACTTAAAACAAAACGAAAAATAAACTTTTGGGGATAATTTCTAAGTAAAACTCCGTTTTGGTCGCCCTCGAGTTAAAGTAAAGTTGTAAATAGAACGTTAAATTTGTTTTGCAACAAAAATAAATAAATATATAAAAAACCATGGGAAACGACAGCAATATATGTCAATACTACAGAGTATTGTGATATGCAAGAGCAAAGCTTCCGAGTCCGCGGTTGACCCGAGTAATAAATAAAAATTTATATTTTTATAGTAGTAATAACAATATAAATAAATGACTTGCTCGAATGTGTTGATTATTTTGTTTGTCCTGAGGTCGATAAGCCGCAAGGTATCATCTCGTACGCAACTCAATAGGTAGTTACAATCTGAAACATAGAAATTAAATTAATAGTTAATAATTAATATATAGCTAATATATCATGTGTTTGTATACACGTGTCTAATAATAAAAACTATAGTTCTACGAGGTGTTCTTTAACTATTAACAAAAAAAACATCAACGCATAACAATATCAACACTTTGTTGTTCGAACACACTAGTCGGCGGTGTAGAGTGTTCAAATAAACGCGGCCCGGTAATNTGTAGAGTGTTCAAACAAACGCGGCCCGGTAATTGATTTTGTTTAACAACTATGCATCCCCTAAAACATTTGTTAGTACTCATTGAGTTTATTCATTCGTCTGTTGTGATTTATTTGTTTCATTATGAAACACTATTGGAACGCTATAAATACCTGCTGGATGATAATACTACACGTAAACGTCTTAATTAAATTCTAATCCGTTTAAGAATGAAAAATTTGATTCGCCATAAAATACCAAGAAAGTATTTTGGTCTGTCTACATTTCGAACAACATAATTTAATGTCAGCTCGGATAACAAATTTCGTGTATTAATCATCACGTGGGAAGTTTTCGCATTATTATAATTAACATTACTTTTAATCTGACAAAGAATATACCGCGCAAGATTGAGAAATGACGTCAGGACACGGCTTTTAGTTTAATTTAATTGAAAATCATTTATATTTTCTAAACGGCCAAGTAATTAAACATAAAATACAAATTTCAGTGATTAATTAGTGTAATTCATCTCGTGCGGGACAAAGAAGATATTCAAATGCAGTAATAAATAATTTATTTGATTACTATTAATCGATTAGTTAACAGGAGGGTGACCTCACTGTTAAAATAATCACAATAATTTTTTCATAATATTAATATTTTTGAGCGGTTCATTAGGTACGATTGTTAATGAGTACACGCTTGTCTTTTGGAGAGAATATTTATTATTATTTAGTTATTCGAATACAAACTAGACACGGCGCGGCGTTTCACAAAAAATGTAAAATAACTGACTATTTAAATGCTGAATACTACTAGATTAAATTCACGGAATTTGGCATTTACTGGCCATCGTACCCACTTGGCCTTTCGGTGTAATAGTTACAGTATAATTTCATCGTTATTCGGTAAACATGTTTATTTAGGTATGATTATTTTATTCACATAAAATGCAAAACACCTCGATGAGTGTACAATACACGACCCATATTTTGTTGCAATATGAATGTAGAACGAGTTTTTTTCTCGCNTTGGCCCAGAACGAGTTTTTTTCTCGCATTCGAGTGAATTCAATTTGATTAGTTTGAATTTCCGTATTAGCATAAGAAGAGTTTTTTAGGTAATGCACCGGCAGAAAGTGAACTCGCGTGTTTCGTTGAAAATCGTGGGACGGTTGTTGAAATCCAAAGCAGAACGTATTGTTTGGTTTCCTTGACGGGGGGAGGGGAGGGGAAACGCAGTTCCGACGAAAGGAATGAACTGATTGCAATTGTAAAATAATTTTAATTGAAAAACTGCAGCAAATACAAATACTTAACATGGTTATGCGTGTTTATTTTTTATCCAATTTAGAAAAGTCCACGTGAACATCGTATAATATTCGCACTGCACAGCGGGTGGTACATAAGCAGCCTAACCTGTGTGCTATCGATGATCATTAAACGATCTTCTTATATGAATTTAATAATACACGTGCAATACATAAGTTTAACGGGCACACATATTATTTTCATCTTCTCGATGGAATTTCGCAAATCTATTGCTCCGTCAAGTACTTATTTGCTTTGGTCAAGACAAATAATAACGTTTGCAACCGATATTGGTCGCAGAACGCAGTTTTTTGATTCATACGTTCTGTAATTACTCATAACGGTCAAAGTAATATTTGTTTTCACGTCTCAAGTGCCTCTAATTAACGGACATAAACACACGTTTCGATCATCCGGTACGGTGTTTAGGTTTCAATTTTTCTCTTCTCGTATAATAATTCCTAAAAACGTCTGTTCAAAACGTTTTTCAAAAAAATAATACAAATTTCGAACAGTAATTGTTCGACGTTTTCTTTGTTAGAGTATTTTTTCAGCGCGGAAATGAACATAGGTAACTGACCAATATCATGGTCAAACTACGTGTGGATTTTCATTGTCTTATTCAAATCACTTACCGCACTAGATTGTTTATTACTTTTGAAATACAAATAAGTGCTCTGGATTTATAGCACAATAGTAACAGCACATAAATTAAAACCACGTCCCTTAAGTTTTTCGACAACAATGAAACTATTTATGCCGCAGAGTATTTGCATTCGCAAGAATTCACAATTTGAATATCGAAACTACACTATGATTATAATGTTTTGCGGGATATGTAATGTTAATTTTATAGCAACTATTTTAATTAACTCGGAATAGTTTTATGTATAACATTCAAATTTAATGTAGAAGTTATTTAAATACACAATTAAAACGCTTCAATAAAAACATTTCTCTTGATTTTTAATTATAAATCCTCACCAATTCAAAAATACAAATTCAGCTATTCACATCTTATTTGAAATTTATTTTCATAATTGGCACACGAATTGCATACATTTATAAAAACGGTTTTGATGAATATAATATTCATTGACTACAAATGAAATTACGACAGCATTAATATAATCAGTAAGTTTGAAAAGGTAGCAGTAATTTATAATTGTCACTATCATTTTATTCGTGTACTAAGAAATGTATCTCAATAATCGCCAACCGAATAAATACAATTTTATATAAAATATTTCTACACTGGAAAATTAAACGAAAACAACAATGTCGCCACACTTCCTATGTTTTAATGAACTGTGTATAGTTTTTGGGTTTTTCTGCGGTTTTCCGAGTTCAGTAATTACTACACTTGACCTTTATAATGGGACAATCTCGATTTCAAAAATAACAGCCTAAAGTGTATTTAGGAACTTTTAGAATTGTCAACGATAAAATAATTAAACGGTTGTAAAAAACGCAATATGCGAAGAAAAAGAGGCGATATCCACTTACACTTACACGGAACGATTTGGAGTTTTCGCTAAAATGATCAACTCACACATAACACAATACATTACAATGAGTGTTAATCATATTTTAATTTGAAAATGATGTGTCCTTTGCACAAACAGAGCAACACACGTTATTAAAATAGGCGAATACGAATTTTACAAGCGTTTGCCAGACATCTACGCGTTGTGCGTCTGGGAAACCATCGCACAAGTTCCACGGGCTGGACGAGATCGTGTGCAGATGCGTTATTGGAGATAATGATAATTTCCATTAGGTTTTTTTTTTATTTTTCTCGCCTATAAAGCGCGAACCGTGAGTTATACCCTCGCACTAGGCTACAGCAGCATTGCAATGACCGGCATAGTTTTATGGTCGTGGCGACACCGGACGCAATCTCCATTCAAATACACCGGTCGTTTTTTGCACGGGTGTATCGCGCCAGAGAGAAACGGACACTGTTGACGAAGGAATACCGAAGAGTTATTTAATGAGTGTAGTGAATCGTGCACCGTGTGCGACCATATTTACAATGATAATAAGTAGCCCACTAGGACAAAGGCCTATTTCAATAGATTGTAAATAAAAAGCAGTAGGTGGACTGTGATCGAAAGTAGGAATCGCATATGTTCAGTCGAATGCGGAAATCCGAATGGCAAAAGTAAAAAAATTATACCCGGCGGTTGATAAGCCTCGAGAAAACGGCCAAGAGAGAGAGACATTATAAATAAGTTTCTGCTTTGTATAATTGAAATCGAATGCATTGGCTTCCTTCGATCGTGTTCTATGGCCATTTTGTAAATACGCGGTAAGTAATAAAACGTACGGTCTTACAGAACGACACACTATCAAACAGTGGAATCTTTGATGTCCCATAAAGTCCGTACTAAATCAGTTTTACGTACCAAATAAATACACTCGACCGGAGTAATCTACTGCCTACGATCGTTTGAACTAAACGCGATACGTTTGACGTTAATCAACTACTAGGTCCGTTGACCTTAATGATTAAATGTCCAAGTTGTTTATGTTCACAGCCTGTAATTATAAGGACCCAAATAACTACTCGAACGCAGACATAAAACGGATTAATTTCGGTTGACAACGACATTGTGGATACGTAATATTAACATAACAGTAATTTCATAGAACAATAACAACCTACCGGAGGAATTTTCACGAGCCCAACTCATTGCATCCGATCCTGTCAAATAGAGTCTGAAATCACTGACACGTATAATAAACATTCTACTAGGTCCACCACTGGAGCATTGTAATTATGGACATTGCGCAGTGACTCGGCCTTCAGAGGTCAATGTTTTTACCGAGTAAACCGTTCGAGTCTTCGCCAGCGAACGCCGGAACCACTTGTGCGGGCACAGCCCAAACAAAATTTTACCGTGAAAACACGACAATTAACTGAAAACGGCCTAAAGAGAGTTTCATTGATAGTTAATAACAACGAGATTAAATATTACAAGAAGACGCGCGAGGCTCGAGAATAAGTTGCGTTGGGAACNCGCGCGAGCCTCGAGAATAAGTTGCGTTGGGAACGCGTCAAGTGTCGACCTTTTATGCGCGTGCAAGAGAGTTGTGCACCTGTTTCAGGTCGTTTGTAGAACATGAAATAATATGCCAAGCGACCGGGCGGCTCTATGGAGACTACACAAGTCCACTTGTATTCGTACGATTTAATTGCACTACTTTATGCGCGTGAACTGTTCGACAATAATTATTCATGCGAGAGTTGACAAAAATCGCATACACCAAACGATAATCGAACTCTGGTAATGACAATCTATAGAGACGCGTCCTAGTTACAGACGACAACGTCGACGCGGTTAAAAAAAGAACATAATAAATGGAATTTATTTTCGACGCACAAAAAACGTTCGGAAATTCTACAGTGTACATAAAATCGTGCGCCAATAATTAATAGGTTTACTCGGTCGGATTAAACTATTATTAATATTATTAGAAAAATCATCAATCATATAAACGTCCGGCGCATCAAAAATCACGTTTTTTGCCAACAATCTGGTTTGCCGTTCGATCATTTTTCCATCATTAAATTGAAATTTAGTCGAAACTCACATTTTTATGGCGCACTAAAACTATTCTATTAAAGTGCATGTATAATTACATGCAAATTTTACACAAGTTAAAGTTAAACTACCAAGTCAGATGATCAGATCCGGAAAAATTAATTAAAACTATTAATTTCAATCAATTTTTAATGATAGATAATTACGATATTGTCGAGAATTTTCGTCAAAAAAAAAAAAATTTAATTATAAATTATTTCTTTACAAGAATACCGTTAAAAACGAAATATTTTTGCCAATAACAATAATATTTTTCGTTGTTTTATAGAAAAATTAATTATGAAAGAAACTCATGATTTTATAGATTTACTATGGATAATCAAACAATGAGTTAATTAAACAAAATCTAATACCATAAAATATTACATTATAANAATCTAACAATGAGTTAATTAAACAAAATCTAATACCATAAAATAATACATTATAATAATTATACCTTTTTATAAGAAATAATTAACAAGTTCCCGTAGTATTTTACAAAACAAATCAACATGAATACTTTGAAAATTTAATTTATTTTCAATAACTTTGCATTCATTTGATAAATCAACAAGAAAATTCACTAAATTATTCTTTTATTTAATTAGAAAATATAATATTCCAACGAAGAACAACTCAATTATGCATATCGACATACAATCAAAAGCTTATTATAAAAATATTGTTAACGTCCTCGCTCATTCTACACGCCAAATAAAAATATACGCAGAAACAATATCTAGATTAAAAAAACAATAGCGAAGTTTCCCTAAGAAATATAATCGAGACTGTAGAAAATCTTAGAGAATAAAGTGTTCTAATTAAAATTTTTTATGACGTATACATTTGGCCCTTAATAATTGATGATAATATTTAAATAATATTATTTGCACAATAACCGGCTGATAAATGCGTAAATGTGCAAATTTTCCCACGAGTAACTAATTAGTAGTCATTAATATTAAAATTAAACAATAAATAATTTTGAAAAACATTTATTTTAAATGTATGAAAGCCCGGCGTTATTCTAACAAATATAACTATTAACACAGCGACGCCGAAACCATTTTTTAATGCGTAGTCGGCTTAACTTTAGGTCTTTATTTTTTATAATCACTCTATAATATACCAAATAATTATCCACGGGTTATTTGAAGTTAACAAAAATTCAATGAGACTTATATTTTGATTAACCAACAAGTTCTTCGTAAGTCTTGATTTTTAATATTTATGATCATCAACTCGAATCATTGAACAAAATTTGGTATGATCATAACTGCTCAATGAGAATAATTATTACTAGTTTTAGTGACTATAAATTCAAATATCAACTTCTAATAGAAAATAAATGATATTTAATAAGTTTTATTCATACATCGTTGCTGCCTACTTATATTTTAAACGTCTGATAATTAATTGAAAATGTTTCTGTCGGGTATCTTCATCAGAAATGCATTAGCTAATTAAAAGTTCAAAAACTCTATGTAAATTTTACTTTTAAATAATTAAAAACCGTTTCAGTTATCAATTTATCATGAACTTTTAGAAATTTAAGTTATGTATTATTACCCAACAGATACGTTTTAATACTAGACACACATTTTATAGATATACGAACATTATTTTATTCATCAACTCTGAAGTGATAATCACTGGTAAAGCAAACGACCTGTTAATGTATTCGGAAATCACTGAATAATACAGTGCAAGTGGCAAAAATAACAGTATTTAAGGTAGGCTGGGCTGTGTCCGAGGAAGCTTTTTTAAATAGTACATTTACAACTATAACATCTACATTTCATACGCATCAAGGATTTCTTAATGTTTCATTGTGACTCTCGTACAACGTTTTCGGAGTACTTCATAATGTCTAATCGTAACACTCGTTAGTTAGAAACACAATAGTTCGCATAGTCATATCTCCACACACTAACTAAGCACAGGAACACGGTATCGCCTACCTTGAACAGATTCGAAGCCCCAGGATCTGGAACAAACGGCCTAAAAATGACTGAATAGATATTCACACAATCTAAGCAAATGAAACATTATGATTTGTTTGTCTTTAGAAGAAAAACTCTGGAAATTAAAAAAAAACTGTCGACAAATGTTCATCGTCCGGTCTAAAATAAAGCCTTTGCCACGCGAGTCGAACGGAGTTGAAAAATATGAATTTCGCGTCATTATACTCCGTTCTTATATGCCGTGGGCAAATTTAAGCCATCGACTATTTTAATTACTCGGAGTAGTAACAAATGTTAAATAACTTAAGTGGTATTGTCTAAATGTAAAGTTAGCGTGAGAACTGTATGCGATTGCGCGTCTCTATTATGTACTCGATGTGCCAATGATTCATCGTGTAAACCGAACAAGACGGTTTGCCAAACAAACAAATAAATAATATGGAGACGTGCGGGGGTGGGCGCTAACGACGGTTTTGACTTAGGGCCAATAACGAAAAACTTGTTTACCTCTGGATAAGTCCAAAGACGTGACCCGTCCCTGGACTTCGATGTCCGTATGCGGCGTTTCGGTCCTCGTGTCCCAGAACCGTATTCTCTTGTCGAAATGGCCACTGATGATGGTCGTGCCGATAGTCTCGGACGTTACCAGGTCGTTGCAGCTGGACCCGGCAAACTTGGTCTCGACGCCTGCGAATGTTAAACGAAACACCTTTAATGATCTGACGTACAGAGATACGCACATATTAAAAAGTCAACGTTTGTATACACAACAGTGTTGGACCGGCACCAAAAAGTAGCCGTTCAGTTATTAATCAACACGACTGCGAACACCGCCGCGGTCGCCTGTACGTCGTGAGCTTATACACAGCCGATCATTTTAGAACAACATCATTGTAAATTATACTCACACGCTCTGATGCGAAGATCATATATCTTCAACGTGCGGTCGTGGCTGCCGGTTACCACTTTGTTCGGTTCGCCCATGAACTTGGCGGCCATCACTTTGGCGCAGTGTCCGGTGAGCGTATGCTGTACAAATTAAAAAGATAACCCTTATTAGCTATTATTATTACATTCATTAAACAGTAACTGACGCCAATANCCTTATTAGCTATTATTACATTCATTAAACAGTAACTGACGCCAATATCAGCATTGAAACAGCACACCGAGTTCGAAGAAAATAACAAATTGGTCACTATTTTATTCTGGACTCGACTAAGTAACATTGGGGTTCGGTCTAGTTTGAAATAGTGAAAACAACAGTCACACACTGTGTACGTAGTATTCGTGTTTAGAATTGTCGCGTTTTCAATTATTTGAGGATAATAAGTCGACAACTCCAATAGTTACAATAACCGACGTTGTAAAAGTTAAACTCTATTAAATTTGCAAAACGGTTGGCGCTTAAAAAAATATTTAAAATCAGTTTCCCTGTTGGCGAAAACCGACCGACCAGCGAACGAGTACAAGCTCATAAAAACGGATTGTTATGAAAATATCATGTAGTCTATATATAACTGGTATGTTAATAATGACAAATCTAGCGTTTAATACTACATATTGAAACAGTTAAAAATGTCTATTTATATCTATGACAACTAAACAGCACCATTGGCGTTTTTTAATGAACGCATTTCTATAGGCCTAAAGAATCATGCGATGGAAACATTCCAAGCGGCTATAAATATCTTTAATTTCTTTTGTAGGCTAAGGCTACAGAGCCTAGGTGAATTCTAGTGAATCGCGTTCATTGCAGACGATGTGCGCAACGCGTTATGAAAATAAACTGACAAATATCAGACGAACAACAAGTGTCGGAAATCACGAACAAATTTCGGTTGGCGCAACTAGATTTGTTTCTCTTAAAAAACGACACGTCCGGCTGGCGGTGGAAAATTTACCGGAAATGACGTGGAAAAAAAATAGAAGCGGATAGAGACGACACTTATTCGCTTTCGCATAGGTGGTCAGGTGGTGGTGTGCGGCCGAGGGAAACGCGGATTGCGTCAAAAAGAAAACGAGGTCGAGGTCGGGAACAATCTTTTTGTTGCTAAAATTAATGTTGCAAAAGTAACTTTGTAAGCGAATAAACTTTAAAATGTGTTTGGACGGCTTCAACGGATTTATACCGCGCACAGAACAGCAGAAAATTACTGGGCTCATTAACTTTCCCTGCCCGACTTGTTAAATGCGCTTCAGTAAAGTTAAACAAAAATTAAAACAATCTCGACGAACGAACAACTTTCCGGAAGTTTTCACTCGGCGGCAGTCGTGTGTTAAGCTCGGAACACAATATCTGACAATAAGGGTAAACACATTAATAAGTACGAAAAAAATCAACACCGCCGATAAATAACGAATTCGTACGGAACGCGATTCGTATCGGCCATGTCGTATGCGCACAAGTACCAGTTGCCCGGTGCATACAATTATGCGCGTGCAAGTGAAATAAACAGTATTTTTTTCGTTTATATCGTACAAACATCCCTTGCGAGTTCATCTGTTCCTCCGCTGTCCTATGCTCTGTGCGCGCCCGTGTGGGTATATACATGTGCGTGTACGCTGTTCGTGCTTTCCGTGGACATGTTTACAGTACGCGTCGGTTTAGCCGAACGGACGGAATTAATTTCCATTCATTACGATTATTTATAAGCCCATATCGGATGTCGTCGGACATGGATTATGTTGCACACAAAGCACACGATAATAGCTCCGTCGTGTCGCCCGCCGCTGCGACGTTATTACTAAATTCCGATTTGTCGGCGCGAGTCAGACTGCAGTGGTCGCAAATCGGTTACGACAATCCCAATGAATTCTCAGAGTTCACTATTCAAATTGTTATTGACTCGACGGGGACATCTCTAACGGAAAATAACCGACAAAACACCTTGCAGCAGGACGTTTGGGCGCCGCAACGGTTTCCGTCAGCAGGTCAACGGGAATCGGTCTACGTGCATACATCAGTTTACACGGTTCAACGGAATTGGCTTGTTGCACTACTAATGATAACCGCCGACGTTCATATGGCACACACGCGCTTATTGGGCTCGTGTAAAAACTGATTTGATTTTCGCGTTTTCACAAACGAAAATCGGAAAATAACCCGAATTTATATGACAGTCGACCGGTTTACTCGAAATCACTACCGACCGCGACGACGGCGTTTCCAACGAACGATTAGTAATTATATTTTATTTTGATTTTCAATTGACCGCGATCATTTATTACATTAATTACTTTTGAACGCATCGGTCTGCCGGTGGGTTTTTCACAGCAACACGAGTGCGATAGTGTAATACAATAATAATAATTGTTTTAGAAGCATTGCACTTGAGCAGCGGCCGACCGTCCGCAGAGTAAACCGCTTGTCAGCGGAGTTAACGTTTCTTTCGTTCGTCTGTCATGTTTAAATGGTCCGTGTATGTTAAAAATCAAGATATTTTTTAATAAATGTATTTTTTTTAACCACTCCGTTTCAATAACGTTGTTTTCAACGGAGGGCGTGTTGGCTCCAACGTCTCAATTCGTTCACAAAGCGTTACAATAAAATGAACGCTCAGACGACGCCGCTGTAATTCTCGGAACGCTTTCACGTTTAGCGTCAACTCAATTTTTAATTGATCGCAATAAACACCTACGAGGGTTTCGCACAATTTGTTACGGAAAAGTCACCGGGAAACAACAGCCGAACAACACATTTCCCATAGAGACGACCCGAGTGTTGTCGCTTTCGAGAGGAGATACTCGTCGCCGTCCGCATATCTGATCAGCGCATACAGCACACGGCGTACGTGTCGATGCCGTTACAGTAATTGTTTAAATTATTCGCTTGGGTGGTCGATGCAGTGTCGGAGGAGGACTAGTGGAGATGTGCATCGCGTATGGGCCTTGTAGTCGGGGGCCCATTACGCGATGCTATTATCTTTTGTCGCGTTCCACCCAAACTCGTTACGGGCAAAGAACATCATCGTTGACCCGTGCGACACCTCTTAGACCGTTGCCAAACACTGTTTGCTTAACGACCATGTAATGTGAGCGTTTACACCGCGCGTTTCCTATAAACGGCGGCAAAACAATGGAAAAACCCAACGTCTCGGCCGGCGCTCGTTTAACATTACAATATAATGGAAACGATTAAAAAAATCGGTACTATTCGTTTATGGGCACCGCCGACGACAACATAATACACAGAGACCCTTTGCAACGCGCATACGCTTATGAATATTATTACAACGCGCTGCTGTATTGTCACCGGCGTCTGTAAAAACTAATCGTGGGAATAATTTTCAGTCCTCTGCTCAGGCCAAAAAATTGTACCGTTACCGAAAAAACATACAAGTCGCTCTTAAATAAGTAATTACCGAATCAACTACTGTTGACGTCCGGGTGCGCCTTACACCGAATTACTATTCGATTCCGGTTCACCTTAATGGACAACACCTGAACTAAACTAATGTTTCGTTTATAAATGTTTTTTGGTATATCATTTGCAACAACACATCCAACATTCCCATCGGGTTTATCTATACATTCAAATCTCTTGGTTAGTTCTCAGTTGATGAATAACTTGTATTATTACCAATTACACCGATAGTCCTTCACACGATACATTTACGACGTTCAAGTCTCTCACTCCATCCCTAGAACAAAAACGGTTCCTGTGGTACTGTTGTAAATACCTATGATCAATTTTCATAGAGTTGAACGTCTCTGAATGGGTCAACACAATTTTTTATAAATGCATAAAGCCCCAAACCCTAATAATAAAACACTAGATCTTCTGAATGGCTATGTCAGTGTAAAACACATTTCTAAAATACTACTCGAACACGCGATATAAACTATACCATGTGAAACGGACACGAATTATTGTGCACAATAAAATTATAAAAATACAATCGATTTTATTAATACACTTTTTGTTTATTAACAAATACGATGAGAAAATGCAGTCGAATTAAATAAGTTTTCTTATAACGCAATTTCAAACTATGAATACTTTACCTTAAGAGCAATTAACGGTATTATCAACTGAAAACACTAGAAAATGTCATGTTCACGGTTCGCTTGTGGATAAGTATTTACATGTGCATTTGTGTGTACGTATCTTGTTAATTGCTATTCGTTCGGTGTATTTAACATGGCACATTATGCAATTCTATTAATTTTGTTATTACCATACAATGTATATGACTTAAAATGTATAACTCGTGTGTCGTTCAAGTTATATACCTCGTTGCTTTATGGGTTCTTCTTGTTAACTTTTCCGGTCATATTTACATGGGAAAATATTTAAATATTGCAATTGATTAAATGCAAGTGGAAAAAATGTTAACACTAGTCATAAATGAAATAACAATGGAGAATATAAAGAAATCTTGTAGGAAAAATACTATGTTGAAAAATGATGCATTTAATCAATAAAATCAAATATGAGAAATTAAAAAAAAAGTTGTTGTCAATTCGACAAAATCTCATCGCCGTGTCGTAGAATTGAAAATAGGCAAATTAAGTATGCATCAAAATATTGTGTAAATTGACAAAAAAATAATAATTTCTCCGTTTTAAATATGAGCTAGACGAACGTTGTTCTTAAGATCAACTGGTTAGATTTTTTTGCGCGCGCGCGTATACATATTTTCCCAGATACAAATGATAATCACTAAATAATCCAAGCAGTTAATAAACACTAGCATATTATTTATAAATCGATTTCGGTGTTTTTTTGAAATTACACATATTACTGGTACACTCGTCGAGTGTTTCAATGATATTATAATATTATTTTCATTGAACATAATTTGGGCGTGTGCAATGACCTCGGCGTGGAATTTTCACTGATAAGAAACGCCACCGAATCACATACGGACTCTTTGTATACATGGCTTACACACTTCAATTACACTACTCTTCTAAATTATTTTGCTACGATTATTCTACAATTTTAATGGAAATCCGCCGGAATGATTAATGCTACGAAGTCGTACTAATAGACAGTCTATGTTAAATCCGATGGCGCACTAAAA